TGTACTGCTTTCTTTACTGCATACTCTACTGTTTGTCTTGTGCTACATACTCTACTGTTATATTATACACTGTACAACTTTAACATGTTATCTATAAAACATCTGAAGAAGTACAACCATAGGACCGTTGGATTTGACATCATAACCTGACACCCTAGAAAACTTAAACTCGTCACGACAATGAGCTTGGAGCTAGCATTGTGGGCAGCACGATCATCTTCAACAGCAGAACATGTCTTCCTCAGCTAAACTATTCATTTCCTAGAAATTAAAACAACAATTCATAAGATTTCAAGGTTGTTCGCCTAGCGCAACATAAATCATCAACCTTTTTTTTAGGCATTTGTATAGCTCTGTTGTACGATCTAAGTCCTATCGTTTTAGGATACTCGTTTTAGGATTCTGAGGTTGTCGTTCGTTACGACCTAAATACTCACATCTTCCAGACTATTTGTGTGATTGTTTCACAAGAATGTAAGTCATAAATAGATAAAATTGACAGGATAAAACACTTGAGCATTTCTCCTCGAAACTGAAGTCAAACCATAGGGTAGACTGGGAAGTCACCGAGGATCTCCTCTGGATCTGTGGCATCCCCTAGTTCTTCTTCTTTTGGATTCTGTAATAAATGTTCCAGTAATAAATGTTTGGATTCTGTAATAAATGTTCCAAATTTGAATCATTCCCCTTACACGCTTCTTTGTCCGATTTCGTTGAAAAGTTTCATCATTTTGAAATCCTTGAAGATATTTTTTCCTGATTTTTATAGAGAGTATTCTTAATTGACTTCGGTCATTTAAAATATAATTAATTATAGAGGCTTGCCTTTATAGGAAGTTTTTCCGAACCCATATTAAAATAAACCCTATTTAATTTTTCATATTAAAAGGGAAATTTATCGGCAAATAAAACGGTTTCGCAGACTAAACGAACGTCATATATTTCTTAGTTTATTTGATCGAGTCTCGTCCTCAAGTCTTGTGTTTATCCCTCGGGATAGATGCAAGGTTTAAGGTAGAGTGTTTTTCATTTAAACTGTGAAAATTATGGGGTCAGTTTGATTTCATATTTTTCTAAACTTAAATCTATATGTAAATTAAAACGTCCTTCCGAAGCGGGCGACTGGATTTCGATTTCGGCGACCGACAGCTTCCTACGGGCGACTCACCACACCCCAACTTTTTATCGCTGACAATCTCCATAGAATTTATTCTAAGAATAATTGTCCCATGGCATATACCTCAATGGCTGAAGAGTTAGGGAAGTCATTTCACTAAATTTTACGTTCAAAACAGTTTGCGATTTATCAGAAAATTTTTTACACTTCTTTGCTAGACCCAATAGCGGGTACCAAACTGACTCGAGAAAAAGATTCGACGAATCTAGAAATCAATATAAAAACACTAACAACCCAGCAACCCAATACAACTAACCTACCAAGCAAGATCCACTCAAAAGGGAAGTCAGCAAATTGAGCTCCACATTATTATCTAGAAAATGTAAAGACTCATGTTGTCTTGATGGCATATTGTCTTAGCAAACCAAAAAAAAAATTTACTTGGTTTATGACTTAATCTATGATGGGTCAATCTTTGGCACATCAATTAGCAATGTCAGGAAACACATGTAAAAACAAGTTCCGGTGGCAAAAGTAGTTTCAGGGTGTTAGATGCCATTAAAAAAAATAATGCATGACGTAAAGCTATATGTAAATGGACTGACAACTCTAAGCCACTTCCTAAGCATACAATCGATTTTTTCCCTATGATTCTCCATATAATTGGGTCCTACAACCATTATGAAATATTAATGTAGTCATTGCACCAAGCGAATACTCTGATGTTATGAAGGCCGACAACATAAAAAGTAATCAATTCTAAACCTTTGTGTCTATGCCTAAGGAGGGATCTATGCATCCTTAACTGTAGATTTCATTAACACCAACCCTTGTAGTAGTTGGCTTCACAAAGCATTTGTTTTTTTAGTCAACATACCATAACCGAATGTAGCATGCATAAGTGATATTGACCCAATGGCATAGTGTAATTGCATGAAAATTGGTGCTAGCTTAGCAAACATGTGATGAGATATGCTAGAGTGGGCTGACAAGTTTGAGTGGAAGCACAATCATCGAATGATTAATATCATCTCCAAGAGGGTGACATCTCTCTAACAATGGGAAAGAAAAAAAAATAAAAAATCTCTAACAATGACATCTCTCTAACAATGGGAAAGAAAAAAAATAAAAAAAATCTCTAACAAGGGGTCAATGGCTCCAAAGGCTACAGCACTTCAGGAAAAAGAAACTAAGCTGATAAACATGCTGATGTCATGGCACTATGATATGGCAAGTACTTCTTGGAAAACAGAAGTATAATTATAGAAATCACAAAAAGAAGCAAGTTGATAATAAAAATAATCGTCAAGTAGGGATATCATAAAGAAGGGAGTTGATTGATGGGAAGGTTGTCGACTTTGTTCGATGTGTTCCGTCATTCCAAATATCTTTTTTGGTTGTATGTGAGTTATGTATGTAGGGTGATAATTTAGGCTCATACAACAAATTAAATGAATTTCAATTTAAATAATATGTGATATGGCGCTAAGTCTTTTATCCAATTGAGATTTATTTTTCAAGTCATAATATGTGAGGGATATAGATAACAAGACAGGGTATCATCTCTCAGAGCCATGTCCAAGAGCCAACTCTTGAACCAAGAAGTTACTTAGGCATCTAGTTCAAGGAGACAACTTCAAGTATCAAAAGCTTGATAGATCACTCCCGCAACAAATTGTAACCTCCAATGGGTTAATTCCAACCTGGAGGCTTGAATAAATTAAGTTCACAAGGTCATAGCAAAAGCAATTTACAAAATTTCCTGTAAATATTGTTGCTTGAAAAGAAATATCAAAGGAAAGGAACCTCTCATAGTAGTAGAAAGAAGATAATGCCCTTTAATTTTAACATGGAAGGCTTATTGAACACATCTACTCATCACATTTTACATTCATAATCTCTAACAACGTAAGATTTCGGTGCAAAATGAACTGCACTAAACTTAGTTTTAATTAAATATTGCTTTCATAGTTTCATCATTGAAAAGAGTCGGTGTAATTGTATGCCCTTGCACTTTGTTTTTTATATTATCAAATGCAGAAAAAAAAATAACTTAACAAAATAAACCAAATCTGAATATAACATGAATAAAATTTTCATCTTCACGTGAAAGTTAAGTTTAAATTTATTTAGAAACAACATTAATGGTTTGATTTTTAAAAATACATCCCTATTCAAAATGAAGTAGATATATAATCTTATTTCATTAAGCCGCACACGGAGGCATGCGTTCCATGACTTGAGAATCAAAATGAAGAGCATCAATAGAGTGCTGAACTATAGCTTCAATTTCAGAAGTAGATTTGGGTATTGAAATCAAGATGTGCTCGGATGTGGGTCAAATTGAGACTTGAGCTTAAACTCAAAAGTAAAATCGAGAAAGGGTGCTCGGCAAAATTTAGGTCATCACCAAATCAAGCTCCAGGGCCAATAATATCCTCAAAAAGTCAAACTCTAAAAGAAAGAAATCCAAAAGAAATAGTACAAGAGGCTTAGCCTGTGATTCATCCATTAGAAGTGTAATAAACTTTAAAGAATTAATGGGATTATAATTAGTCCAAATGTCCGAGATTCTTTTAAACATTTCATCAAAATATTGATAAAAGATTATTCGAAAATGTTATTAATTCAAATCCAGTTATGATATGTTCTAAAAGTCATATCCTACTGACTAAGTGAATAAAACGAAGCAAGAGGATCTTCCCTATGAACTTTTTCAAGCCTTCAACAAAATCTAACATTATCATGATGAAATGTTATGTCAATGAAAAATTGTACTTGCATAAGTGAATCAGGATTCATTTCATCTCATAATCTAGTTCACGCGAGTAATGAAAATTTAGAAAGTCATGAGATCAATGATCATTTTCTTTGCCTTCACTAAGGTTTATCTATCATATAACACCTTAAGGTCCGCCAAAATACCAATTAACTCCCTTGTATCAAGTTTCCATACAATTTTCATTACATCAAAGAGTACCCTAATTCATTAAGCATTTAGAATTATTTTCTCTTTTGTATTTTTTGAGTTGTTTATAAAATTAATTTGAAGTAATGGTTAAAAAAAAGTCATTTGCATGCTTTCTGATTGAGTGAAGTTCGAAATAGTATTATGATTCTTTGCAGAAGGTCATTTTAGTCTCAAATTTTATAAAAATGTCAATTTAGTCCCCAAACACTTTAATAGGGCTAAAATAATCCTCTTTCAGGACTTCTTCAACGCATATTAAAAGAGTGTAGGGGCTTATTAGACACTTTTATAAAGTTTATGACTGAAATGACCCTACTCCTTTCTAATTATTAATTATCACTTAAAAGGAGCAATAGAAAACTTCAGGCATGTTACCACTTATAATCGTCCTTTCCTAATTCTTCAAAATAAAATTTAAAAAAAATCTTAGATTCAATCATGGAACAATTATAACCTGTAAAATCTAGTTCAGTCCCTAATTGGCCAACACTATTCTGACATCTCTGGTTACTGAATCAACAAGTCTACTATAGTACTCAAGAAGCAAGAACTATTGCTCCAAAAAAAAAACGTCTAGTCAGATACTTTTTAGGTCATAACAATAGTTTTAGAAGGCAAGCCACAACAATCAAGATTTATTTTTTAGATAAGAATCTTGTTCTTATGAGCTATAATAAGATATTTAGATTGCTGTAGTTTAACTATTCTCTACTAAATATGAACTGAGCTTTTGCTCAGAAAATACAGAAAGCCTGATGAAAATACAAATATAGAAGCTCAAATTCCTCAAGAAATCAGTTCTACAAAATGTAAGTTCTACTGAATGCGATATCCTTGTATATGGATTCAGTAATATACCACAAAAAGAAAGTAGTCATAAATTGCACAAAGTTTTATAGTTGAATAACAGACCTTGACTGTTGCTAGTTCTTGAAGCCTCAGAAGCACCTGTGGAGGATGAAGGTTGAGACTGAACCAGCTGCCTTAAAACCAAATGCAGGGTGTCTCCATCCTCCATATCTAACATAGTCAAGGACAATGGTGGCAGAAAAACAAAGCAATAAACAAGTAACAGAGTAACAAAGCATGCATGAGTAGAACACAACCAGGAAAACAAACAAATAATGATCTAAGCACTGATCTAAACCATAAAAGGGCAACTGCATATGTATGCTTTGATACAAATAAAAGTTTGATATTAGAAAGAAGATATTCAACGCATATAATAATATGAGAAGAAGAAAACAAAGCAGCGACTCCACTGAGATATGTTTTATTTTGATACTTGAATTGAATATAAAGAGGTTGAACCATTTTAATTTCTACAATATTTTGATACATGCCTCAAGAAATAAAAATTTGAACATCTTATATTCTATAAGTAGCATCCCCATAGATTTGTATAGAGTATACATGTGAATTAACTAATTAACTAGAGAACTATCTAACCTTGATGCAGATCCACCTAAGTATATGAACAAAGAGGCAAGCTCAACTAGCCGGGCTCAAAGCTCTTACCTGCCAACAACAAGGCGGACTAACACGTTCATTCCAAGAAAGCATCCACTATCGTTCCTGGACAACTTCACTTTGCACCATATAAACCAACTACAGTGACCTGCCCACTTCAATATATGCAAGGAACTAGTGAACCCGTCAACTACTCAGTGGCCTAGACCGAGCTTCACTCAAGGTAACTAGTCTCTTGTATTTCTCAGTCTCTTTTTTTATATAAATGTATACTGCTCACTCGACAGCCTTCACTATAGCGTTCGAGACCACAAATGCTAATCTATAATTAAGATGTCTCAGGGAGAACCAATGGATTGATTTCACAAACTCCTCTTTGCCTTGTAATAACCAGAGTCATTCCTAGTGGAAATTACTTCCGCTTATTCCATTTTTGAGTCTTTTTCATTTCCTCTGGGCTAGTAAGTTCTGGCGTGGCCAATGAAGAAGTTGGAATCCAACACTAACCATCCTGAACAATTCAAATGATATGTAAATCAAATTCTAACGCTTTGAAAACATATGAAAGTTTTCCTTTCTAGTGACACAATTAACTTGCTGATGTCTTGATTTGATACTTGATTTGACATAGGAGGGTGATACATTCTACTACTCTGGAGCTCTGGGCAGGTGCTTCAAAGATTGAAAACTGAACATTTTTTTATTCCTTACTTAACATCCTCAGAATTTGTTTAACTCATCAGCTTAGGATTAAATAATTTAAAGCCCATCCAAAGCCAAATTCCAAGGGAGTGGAGGCCTCGTATTAAGCCTGGTGATACAATGAACTAACTGCCCTTGTGTTCCTGTTTAGCCAGATTACTCATGGTAATTTTTTATAAGTTAAATCATGGAAACGCTGTGCAATTTGCTCTTGCAAATCAATAATTTTGGCTTAGAATGCCAATCTCGCACTAAATCATTTCAACTCCAAGTAAATGTGTGCTGTCCAAAACCAGCCCATCTTAAACTTAATAAAGATAGGACAGAAAACAAAGAATTCTGTGTAAATGACAACAAAGAGCCAAAAAAACAAGCTAGCAACATGCACACCAGCATAAGAACTCAGAATGCTCTAAAAGACGAGCAAAGCATTTGAACTCTGGAATACAATGCAGATTCAATTTTACTGTAAAATATAGAATAAATGAATCAGGTCCTGCAAAAATCCTATTGCATTTATCAAATCGGGTACAGATATAGGCTGCAAAAAAACTGTACCCATTAGTGCTCTTGATACAGGAGTTAACCCAAAACATAATAGGAAAAGCAAATATTATTATTCCAAAGCAAATAGGGTTACAATCAAAGACACTTGAAATAGGAAAAACAACGATAAAAACACAAATACCCACTAGGGCGGACTTCAAAGGTGGTAAGCTGCAGATCAAAGTGGTGGAAATTGAGAGTTGTAGATGGTAATGTGGTCCAGAGGCAGCAGGAGAGAGCTGTCTGGCGGCTGGACAGCAAACAGGGAAGGGCTTCAAGAGGCGGCAATAAGCAGGGAAGGGATTGAAGGGACGGCAGCAAGTGGCAAGATGTCAAGAAGGGTGCGGCAGCAAAAGGTGAAAGGTTGGAGGGCTGCAGCAACCAAGAGAGGGGTGGCTGATGGTTCGGGCAGCAGGTAGGAAGGCAGGGAGGGCGGCAGCAAATATTAATAGGAAGGATGCACACCACCTCGGGACAAGTTATAATCGAAACACCTTCTCGCCATTAGATACAGTCCTAGGAGGGGGTAAACGTGACGCCAGAGGCTATCCTGACAAAAATCTCAAAGCAAAAAACTGCAAACCTAGAAACAGGAATCACATATAAAAGTCCTAGATAACTAAGATTGGATTCCCCTATAGAAAAGAGTCACCAATCCATCGTGGGAGATCTGATTGTCCCTCCCGGGTCAGGACTGGTTCAGTCCAGACGAAGGACAACGCTAGAGAAGCCCGCGGCTCCCTCTAAACCGCACTCGCCACGTTATTGGCATTTCCGTGTCAGTTCTTCTTGCAAAATATTTGTCCATAACTTTTTATATATTTCAGCATGCACCCGAAGGTGCGAAAAACTAATAATCATACAATTGGGATCATTAATTTTATAATATTTCATCTTCTAATGCAATGATGGCAACGCCTTCTACTTCTGAGCTGTTCCATACTCAATATACTTTGAAGCAACTTAGAACCTTGCCTCGACAACAGTGCCTTCCCATATTAATCCAGATCTTGTATCTATTAACTGGAGTAGTAATTATGTACCTCCCTGGTTCTTACTTGTGATGGTCTTCTTGATTCAGGAGAAATGTGTGATCCAGACTCTTCTTGTGGCCTCAGTTGTATGTATTTCTAGTAAAAAAGAGCATATTGGCAAAAAAGTTCAAATTACGTATTTTCGAAGAGGAAGAAATGCCAAGAATTTTTCCATCAGAAGTTCCAAGTTTGACTTTTTTAATGTGGCCTGTAGAATTTTTCTCTTCTTCACTGCATGCAGATGTTTTTAGCCTTCTATTACATCTAGCAATGGATTGCCATTGCTCTGTATTACACTCCTTTTATTGAATGATAAGAAACCATATATTTTTTAAGAAGAAAAAAAGTAAATTACACGCTCTGCACACTAATTCGATAAACTAGTTGACCAATGAACATATTCCTAGTCTAATATGAATCTAGAATTGATCAACCAAAATCCAATCCAGATATAAGGGTTGAATCATGCTTTTAGGTCTAACAAGAATTCAACCTAATAAGACCTCGAAAAATGGAACAAAGGTGGCGACAAGGAGAATGAAGAGTGGGGGCCAACTGGCCATATGGAGGATGAACGGAGGTGGCAGTGTAAAGGATTGCAAGGTAGAAAATTAAAGGAAATTAACTAAAAAGTGATGCACCACAACCACATATACACGGATAAACAACAAGATCAAAAACAAGAGTCTTGCATCTATGAAGATCGCCATCAATCCATCACAAGTATGAATATGATTGTTGAGGACCAGAAGACCATATGAGTTAAATGTTTGGCCGAATTCTACCTCTATGAATTTTGATAATATTCTAACTTGAAATGTCGTCCTTCTTAAAAGCATAACACCCCCATCCGTTTGTATTCAATTTGGTTGAATAATATATTAAAAGAGGAGAGAAGTATTAAATTAGTCCCCTTACTTTAGTCCCAGAGTCTATAAAAGTGTCAATTTAGTCCCCAGACTCTTTTAATATAGACTAAAATAATCTTACGGGGGACTATTTCAGCACCAACTCTAAGAACTAGTTAACCCTTTTATAGGCTCTTGAACTAAAATGATCCCATGTAAATAGTCACAGCTATGAATTTGATGGTTAAAGACAAGAATACCATATGAATCAAATGCTTGGTTGAATTCTACTTTTATGAATTTCAATAAAGTTCTAAGTTGATATGACATTCTCTAATGTATTAAAAAAAGTTTCAAAACTTCCTTATTTGCATTGGAAAACCCCAATCACATGAGATAGCTGTAATTTCATGCAAAGCTCTCTCTCTCTCTCTCTTGTTTCTCATTAAATATAAGTTTTATGTAAACCATGCAATTTATCAAATGAAACAATGAGAATTGTTGTTTGTTTACAACTAAAGTGATGGCTTGATGGCTTCCTTCTATTGAAGTTCTTTGGTTAAATCTTCATAGAAAAGATATTAGGAGACGGCTTTTCTACACTTATCTTTTATTATCTCATAAACCCAGCATCTCTCTCCTCTCTCTCTCTCACTACCTCCATAGCCATACCCCAGTCATAGCTGAAAACAAGAAAACCATATATGGTGAAGCAATGGAATCCCACGCCTAAAAGGTATGAAGTGAGGTGTAATCAATGAGGAGGCATCTTTTTGCAATTTTAATATTCGGAAGATGGGGGTACAGTCAAACAGATCATGAAGTTCAGTAAGAATGAGATCAAGAAAGCCGCTCATGGCAAGATCATAGATAGAAGACGCTCGTGAATAAAATAAATATGACATAATAAAAAAAATAGCATGACTCTGATACTATGTTAGAAAGTAATAATTTCTTTGGAGCAAAACAAAACCTACCATTAAAGAATGAATAAGATCCCCGGCTGACCTTAGAAACGATAAACAAAAATGAAATTATACATCAGGATACGAAGTTCTGATAACAATTGCTCATCCTTGAGAACTTTTCCTCTATAAATTAATCGTTGTTGTTCTGAGGGAACTCCAATGGCGGTCACAATCATCTCCTTCAAAGATGGTACAGGAATCTGAAAGAGAAAACAAAAGGTTAGGCCCAGCAATACTATTTTAGGTTCTTTCTCATAGTAAGAGCATTTTGCCCGTCAATGGACAGTTTATCACTAGACCATGGCCATAGTTAAGTTCTCTAGATTTGGATTGCTATTTCTTGAAATCATACAGACCCATTTACCTTAATAGTTTTACACTACACTAACATAGTACAACCAAACTAGAAGTGTGTTGACTAAAACCAAATTTCATCGTCTTTTAAATAGGGTCAACTATGTGAAGCAATCGAATCATAATATAGAGACATGACTCATATCTGTGAAAGAACCTTCCCTAATGGTTTCCACTCAAAAGACATCGATGTAAACAACCTCTCGAGATAGTACACTGAGCATATCCATACCTATCACAACAAGTCCTACTGAGATGCAGTAACAGATCAATGAAGCCAATGCAAATGTGATTAGTGCTTATGCTCTATGTGTTGGATTAGAAAATAGTTTTAAAAATAGCATTGGAAAGAGAGGAATAAACTACTATTGACGGAAAAAAGGCCTTATTTATTAGGAGTAATTTAAGTGGATATGTAAAAGAAAAGTCATAGAAGGTCCATCGAAGAAGGTTTATCGAAGTCGAGAAAAAACGTATCAGCAAAGAGATTTGCTAATTAATTGAGGAGGTACAAAACTTCTTTTAAAAAGATAATTGATACTAAAGAGTAACAATTTTACTATCAATGTTTATAAGACATGTAAATCTTGCAAAGAGGGTGGCGAGAAAAAGCTACAATTGTTAGCAGCTCATATAAGATGCTTGTTATTAAGAAAAAAAAAGGATATATATATAGGTAAAGCAGGAGATAAGACATCTAGAAACAAAGATAATATTATTTAGTTAAGAAGGAAGGGAACATAGAAAAAAATACATTTCTTATTTTGAGAATTTATTAAATTATATTAAAAAATTATTTTGGAAAAGTGTGATAAAGGAAATAAAAAGGTATATTATACATTGACCAAAAAAATAAGTGAAGTTCTATATGAAGAAGATACAAAAAAATGAAACTATAGGTGAAGGTGAAATACCCAATAAATTTGAGAAGTTACGAGAAAACTGTAGATTTGATCTTTTTAATCACATTCTAAATATAAAGAGAATGTCAAATAGTTATAAAAAATAATTTTGGAACAAATATTTAAAAACAAAGGAGATGTTTATGCTTATGCTAATTATGGAGGAATCAAACTTATGTGAATCATAACATAAGTTTATAAAAGAATAATATAGCATTACACTAAGAGAAACTACATCGGTTTATAAGAATCAATTTGGTTTCAAGCTCAAAAAATATAATATGGAAGTGATTTTTTGAACTAATATAATCAATGAATAAGTATAGAGATCAAAGAAAAAATCTCAAAGATTTTTGTTAATAAATGTTGATAATGCTCATGATTGTGTACCACGAGAATTGATTTTGTGCGCATCAAGAAAGAAGATGATATTCAAATCATTAAAAACATGCATGATGAAGCATAGACTAGCATTAAAGGTAATGGTAGAGTTACCATAAAATTTTCGATTATGATAAAGTTATATTAAAGTTCAAATTTTCTATAATGATTATAAACAGGTTTGCCCCAAGTAGTGGGATTAAGGCTTTGTTGTTGTTGTTGTTGTTGTTGTTGATTATAAATATGTTTACAAAAATAATAAAAGTAAGAAGTCTTGGTGCATGACTTTCGTAGATAACATGATTCTAATAGGTAAGATATATGATATGGTAAAAGAGAACTTAGAAAGAAAATGAAACATTTAAAAAAATAGAAAGATTAGAATTAGTGTAACAAAGTCTAGCTAAGATGAGAAGTTTAAATATCTTGAATTTATAATACAGAAGAATCAGGATAAAGATGAAAATATTACTTCTATATTTAAGACTGGGGGGATGAGATGGAGAAGTAACACAAGAGTGTTATGTGCTATATGATAAATTTATAATTAGGTCAATTCTTATGGGTGGTAAATTTACGTAGAACTCATCTATTATATAAAATAACAAGAATATAGCTGAAGATATAACTTCTAGAGTTAAAACCCAACCATTAAAATAAAAAACTGCCTCGACCTCGATAATATAACATGATAAGAGGATATCATGAAGATTAAGAGAATAAATTTTATAAAATTGCAATCATCTGGCAAGAATAAACACATTCAAATGTTCTATAATTTAAAAAAAAAAAAAAATCACTAATGGCTAAGTTCAATAATAATAAGGAAATGAAAATGTTAAGTTTGTTGTATGGAAAAACTAACAAAAATAAAATACAAATTATAATATTATAAGAACGAAAGGAGTGACACCTATGAACAATAAAATAATTGAAAATAGACTGTCATTTGGATGTGTAATATAAAGGGTATAGAAAATGCACCAATTAAATGAGTTTATAAAATAATATTGAAGGATTAATAAGCGTTAGAGGTAGACCCAAGATAGCATGAATAGAAGTAATTCAAATAGTCTAAGAATAATACAATTAACCCTTCCAACAACACTCAATGGAAACTAATGAACATGAGGACCCATTGAGCCAATCCCAAAGAGCTAAGACAAGGATATAATTGATGGTGATAACATACATACAAATGTTGGACAATTAAATAGTTCTGGACAGCTACGTTCAACATAAGAAAATGAGAATCACGAAGGACAAGATAAGAAAGTGGCACTAAAGATGAGGTGGTCAAAAACTAGAACTTAGATTGTTTACACATATATAGTAGAAGTTAATAAAGCATCCATTTGACAAGTAAATAAAATAAGCACTAAAGGATTAGAAGAAAAAAATAAAAGAAAATAAATTAATATTAATAGAAGTTGTTCAAAATAATTTGTGAATACTAGATTAACACTTCGGACAATGCATAGTAGGAGTGAATGTAAAATGAAGATTCATAAAAGACAACCACAAATAGTAGAGCTAAGGATAATAAATATGATAAAAATAAATTTAGTGTACACAAAATCTATAAAAATCAATATGGCAATGAAAAACAGGAAAAGAAACAGTGATAAAAAAAGCAAAATAAAAATACATGCTAACCAAATTAATTGAAAAATTAAGAGTTTTTGTAACACTAGTGCTCTTTCTTACACATTTGTTACAAGCATGTCAATTTTGTATGATAAAGAAAAGGAATACAGTATAGCTTCGTATAGTTCAGATACCATACGAGCTATGATTTTGTCTCACCAAATTTACAAAAAATATAAAGTTGCAATTACCATATCAATCTAGAAAACAAGTTCAAGCTACAAAATGCGGTGACTGTTTTCTAAAAGAGCAGAGAAATAAGCTACATTTTTGTTCACGCGGAGCGAAAATGTTCGTGAATCCAGAGTTTTAATGTTGATTCCGATGGTTGATTCTAAATTCTCAGGATGGATTGAACTGGAGCCCTCTGAACCTGACTCAGGTGTCATCCTGCAGGATAAACGAAAAAAAAACTGCATGAACAATTATTCAATCAATAAAATTCATGCAGGACATTTGATGAAAGATAAACTTTTTCGATCAATTCATTCAACCTAACATAGAAGACCAAGCAAAACATTGCTATCAGCAGATTATAAATGATTTCTCACAAAATATTTTCCAACATACACACGATGAAATAAATAAGAAAAAGCAAAATAATGAAGATGTTACAGCTTGAAAACGTTTCAAACAATATTTGTAAGATCGGGTAACAAGTAATTGAATTTTGAAGTGCATTTTAACTAAAATCAACACAGCAATTTATATGGTGGCTGAAGACTACTTTGGGTGTTGGTTCCATCTCAGTCGGATAACTGATAGCCTGATATATGAACTTATCTTTCTATTTAAAAAATAAATAAATAAGGCAGGGAAGCATGGATAGAGCCGACTTTTTGTTCTCCAATGGCTTCCATTTCTGATTCCTGCGTTCTGCATTATTTGTATTTTTCTACTTCGGGCCGTAGTCAATTATTTGCAGAACACTAGTGGAGGTGTGGTTATTGGGATATACATACGTTGTTGAGAGTGCAGAACTTGAATGACAGGATGGGCAGTTAAGTGTGTTGGGATTTTCAAAGTCATATTAAAAAATTAGCTATATTGAGAATTTTAAAATTAATTTAAAATTAATAACAATTTCAATTGAGATTGGTCTATGCTAACCTATCTATTATCCAAAGCAATGATGAGTCTATAAATAATAGTTTGAAAAAAAAATTACAACTTTTGGCTTGAATAAATATCATCTTTCAATATTCATTCTTCCAAGTGCAAGCTAGATGTGTTTTCCTGCACAAGCGCTATAAATGAAAATACCTAATTTTGCAGGAAGTTATCTCTCATCTTTTTTATACATACATTAAGCCTCAATGTTTTAAAATTTGATAAATTTTTCCTCTTTCACTTCTTCAACATAATTTCCAATAAGCGAAAAAAGTCAAAAAAATTAAGAAAATAATACAACTTGGAAGTTTGACGTTAAGGAATGATATCAAATTTTAAAACATCTTATCCATAAAGGTGACAATAATTATACACACACACACACACACACACACAAAGAGTATCCATAGTTAATGAAAGGAAATAAGCATTTGAAAGACAAAAAAGGGCATGATGTAGTGTGAAGTACAAGAAAGGTTAAGGCAAACATAATTTTATCATATGCATGGATGCATCTTTGGCTATTATGCATGAATTATTTCTGTACTATAACCACAATTTGTTGAGCGAGTCATATACGAACGAGAATAAATAACCTTCTCAAATGAGATTGCATAATTATTTAAACATTAAACACTCAATTCAGCCACTTTAAATAGTTGTATAATATGTACATACAATCAAATTTATGAATGAATACAACAACAACAACAATAAAGCGTTAATCCCACTACGTGGGGTCTGCTAGATGAATCCTTTTTCTCCATTGCGTCCAATTTAGTGTCTCATTTTGTTCTATTTTGTTCTAATAAATTAAGATCATTTTTTTATACAATAAATCCAAGTCTTCTTAGGTCTACCTCTGTCTTTGTTAACATAAGTTGAATCTAAAACATCTACTCTCCTAATCGGATCATCAGATGGTCGACGCTTAATGTGACCAAACCATCTAAGACAATTTTCTCTAATTTTGTCTGTCATAGGAGCTACACCAACTCTATCACAGATATATTCATTTCGCATTATGTCTCTAAGTGTAAAGCGACTCATCTACCTAATCATTCTCATCTCGGCAACACTTAACTTAGTATTATGCTTCTCTTTTAAAGGCCAACATTCAACGCCATAGAGCATTGCAAATCTCACCACCGTCTTATAAAATTTTCCTTTCAGTCTAAGCGGTACTTTTTTATCACACAAAAAGCCTGAAGCATTCCTCCACTTCAACCAACCAACTTGAATTCTACTATTAACATCCCCATCTATATCACCATCGCTTTGAACAACAGACCCGAGATATCTAAATCGTTCACACCTTTTAATAATTTGATCACCCAAAGTTACACTTCTGTCACTAGAGCTACTACTACTAAAATTACATTCCATGTATTCAATTTTAGTTCTACTCAAATGAAGGACTTTAGACTCCAATGTAGACCTCCATAATTCAAGTTTTTCCTGG